GCATAATTTCAAAATGGCCGCCAGAGACGACGGTTAATTATGGACATGATTTAAATGATTTTGTTGCAACGTTATCAAATGACGATGGTTCATTATGAATAAAATGTAAATGATTTTGTTACAAAGTTATAAAACGACGATGGTTAATACAAACATTATTTGAATAATTGTGATACAACGTTTTCCGATGGCTTCATTATGAACATGATTTAAGTAGCTTTGTTAAATCATGGTCAATTTTTTTAATCAACATGATTTAAAAGTGGTTCAATAACGATGGCATGAACATTATTCTTCGATGCATAATTTCCTTTATGAAAGGCTGTCTCTGGTCAAGTATGATGACAGTGAATTATATTTCCGGTCTGTGTGTATGTCTGTGTGACCATTTACTCCTGGATAGAGCCTACTAAATCGGACTTCCCATGTCAGGTTGTAGGAATTAAGAATTAATCCTCAGTTCTTTACTGCCCAACACCTGGCTGGCTCACGAACGAAAGATAACCGACACAAGGGTGACCCTACCGACCTCACTGACATGATGGACACAAAACCTTAACCCGGTAGTGTACTTGAAGCTACGATACGCTGTCGTGAATGACTTCAACCCTGATTCACAGGCTAAGGTGTAGGGAAAATGTATCGTTCCGCGAAACATGAATGAAACAAGCTATTAATAACCTAAGTAATCGAGAACATTAATGAAGCCACCAGAAGATGGAGTCGATGCTATATTCCTCGGCATGAAAGAAAAATGAGAAAATGGAAGTCATCATTTATCTCCTAACTTGGTACAGAGGATACCATCATTTGGAAGTTTCGTGAAAACATACATGCGTTTTCCAACATATACCTCAGCTGTAATCTTAGACTTCAACAAGGCATTACGTTTCTTTGATATGTGGAAAATAGACTGTCCTGCTCTAGTTAATTCTTCTAAAGTAATCTTCGCACACCAGTGCCAAACACCTGGTATCTTACAAATGGGAGATGTCAGCCACTAGCGCCACCTTTCTTACATCATTGACAGGAAAGATACAAAAACCTACTTTAAAATATAGGGCTCCTTGGTTTTAGTTCTATCTATTGTATTTGAGGGCAAGAAATCATCGTCCAAAACGGAGCCAGAACACGTTTTTGACAGGCGAGCGGATCTTCCAAACACAGCAGGGGTTGCAGGGGTCATGTACCTTTTTGAGAAGTTCTGGAGAAGAAACAGTTCCCTCTTTAAAAGGCTGTATCTCAGTTGTTTTGGGGTCTACGGTCAAAACAATTAGTGCTCTGGAATTACCAAGACTTTATCTACCATACTGGCATTTGTGCAGAATTTGCACAATGGTTACTGGACATCAGTTATGGAAAGTTTGGAATGTCTAGAGCTGACGGTTGGAGCTCAGCACATTTTGGGAGCAAACTACTCACAAAACTCCTGAAAAACATGGCAAAAAACTGAAAACAAAATAGCTGCTAAACAGCAACTTGACCCGTCCCGGAAAAATTGTTGGGAATTCGATTGTGCATCTGTACAAGAGATTTGGAAGTGTTGGAACAATTAGTTCTTGAGATATTTGCTGTCAAACTTTGAAATTTTGGAATTAATTTTGAATTATCTCCCCTTTGCTATTAGGCCTAGAGCCTAGAGCTTTTTAAAGGGAATATCTACACCTCGATGCGCATCTGTATGATTTTTTTGTAAGCGATTCGGAGCATTTGTTCAGGAGTTATGTTTGGTACAAAAATCGGCCTAGAGGCAAGGAGCCCTAAAAAATCAAAATAATTGCTTCATACTCGGGCGGATTTTCATCAGATGTAATTGATACTTTAATAATAACTAGAAAACATGGTCTGGATGTTCGGATTACAGGGTTAGAATAATCAGTAGGGTTATGTATAATTAATAGTCACCTCACAATTGGGTTTGTATAATCAGGAAGCAACATACAAAAGGTACTATATTATCAGTAAGTTCTGCAAGGCAGAATCTGTGTAATCAGTGGGCACTACTCGACCAGTATCAGCAGGCACTGAAAGTTTGTTTGATCGGAAGGCAAGAAACGGTCTGCATAACCTGTAGGCATTGAAGAAATGAATTATGTGATTGGTTGGCACAACACCACAGGGTGTGTGTAATCAGTAGGCACTGCAAGACATGGATTATGTGATCGTTTGGCACAACATGACAGGGTGTGTGTAAACAAGAGGCACTGCCAAACATAGCCAATCAATTGTTCACCCAACAAAAACACGTTAACGTATCGTACAAATCAAAATAGTGAATTTCATCGGTCGTCATTTTTGTGAGTGATGCATCAAATTTTGAAATGTCCTCCACATGCCCATGAATCAAAGTTTGGAAGGCTCTACTGAGGCCTTGAATGCTGTAACCTTGATGGAACAAGTTGTGAGCTAGAGTCATACCGGCGCCTTTTGACAGCATGCACTAAATGAGATTGCTATATGGCTGAATAATACTCACTCACACAGACATACCCTCTCTTACACTGCTTACTAAGCAAGATGAAAATAGACAGGCCATTCATAACCCATGCGAATGAGAAGAATTATGTCAACCTCATAAGGTGGAGTCATCATAAGCTGTATTGCATGAAAAAAGAATGAGAAAGGTGAAGTCATAACGCTTGTCCCAAGGTTTGGTACGTTTCGACTTAAATAACACATGACCTTGTAGAAAAGACTTTAAATATGTACTCTTCGTTGTCTGTAGTTGTGCTGCACGTGTTGCTCTTGCAGATATGTTCTTTACTGCACCAGATTTTGTTACGACTTGGTCTTAACACAATGCATAGTATAGGGCTCTTTCCTGTATCGTGGGGACCTAAACAAGTATTGTATTCATCTATTGCACTTTTATGAATATTTTCAGGACATGTCAGGAAATATAGAACCCAATGGTCTGTGTTTCTCCTCCATTGTATAATGGACTTCAATGTGGGGGTGATGATGTAGCCGAATAGGTAAAGCGTTCGCTCGTCAGGCCAAAGGCCCGGTTTCGATTCAAAACATGAAAACAATGTGAACATTTCTGGTTTTCCCCATTGGGATATTCCTGGAATATTGCTAAAGCAGCTTAAATACCAACTCACTCACTCATTTACTCACAAACATACCTTAATTGACGAATAGCGTATTTGCCACACCTATTCAATACGCGGGATGCGGGGGGATATATTGAGAGGGTACTAGGGATGGAAATAAAGTTCACTTGTCTTAAAGAAAAATAAGGACGAACGCAAACAATTCCTTTATATATTCCATAGGGTCACTTTTGTCTAAAATCGCTCACTTTTATTACCTAGGTATGAAGCCTAACTTAGGAGCTATTCGGGATTCAGGGAGTGCTGTTTTCACTCATGTGAATGGACTCTACCAAATATGTGATCTATATGTAAAAATACAAGCATAAACTATTGATAATAATGTTTATGCATTATGTTGATATGTATGTTCTAAAACATTGGTATTGAAACTGTATCAAACAAGTTTTATTCCACTTCAGAATCCGACCCTAGCCAACTATCCAGACCCCTAGTGGTGTTGTGGGAGTCTCGCAGCACTTAATCCCAATGCTGTTATACCCCTAATGTTGGGAAAGTGTCAGGGATCCTGTTTGTTGCCACTTGCCGGCGGTTGTTACCGGCTGTTGTTACCGGCTCACACGGAATCAGACGCGCACAATCTATACTGGACGCGAACAACAAATACAACTGGACTCTTTTCCACTGTAATTTTATTCAAACACATCAGAGACAATGTCACAACAATTATTACATGAAGACATAAATGAGGTAACTGAAACCTTTATGATATTATTTTCCATTGCATTCTATGGACATAATATATACCTTTAAGTTAAGATATTTGATACACACACTGTGATAATACATGTAGCGTCCACGTCAAAGATAATACAATTAATTAAAATGTAACATTTAAAAAGTAATATGAGCTATATGAACTACATGAAATATCCGTTTAACGCTTTGTAGAATGAGATTTAAGAATTCATATTTTCATAAAATACAAAATATATTCTTTTTACTGTGTGTTTGCAATGATGTGAAGGGCAGGAACGGTTGCCCAATTTGCGACTGTCGGTTTTCGGCAGGTAATGAATTACCTTTCAATTTAAAACAAAGTGAAACTGACACATGATTAAAAACGAATTTCATATTTCAAAGTTTACGTTTAGGCTCTGACACTAACACTAACCAAAGACGGTATTTGTTTTACATCCCAAAGTAAGAGTTTTCATTGTAGAATCTCTAACTGAGGCTAAAGCAAATTTCAAATTCTGCCTGGCATCCGAGGTCCACCCAGACAGTAGTGCCGGTGATGCCGTAGTCCCTGTCCTGGGTACAGGTGTTGTCATACTGAATGTTGCTCACCTCCAGGTACGTCAGTCTTGTTGCCTTTGGCAACGTAAACGTGATTCTCGAGTAGCCGCTGGACCACTCATCAACGCATTCAGGCTCTGGAAGAGATAACAGAGTTGAGTTTGTTTGTTTGATTAATATTCCATCTCTATGATGACCATCTGCAAATATTCGACTCTGGACCTGACAATAATGTGTATCGGCCAACGTTTTTGGGATACGATGGCCTGCGTCAAACAAGTCAATGAGCTTGACCACCGGATCCCCTTACCCTCCTTTTACGACAAACATGGGTTACGGAAGACTATTTTAATCTGGCAACGAGTTGTGTTCAGGAACAGGTCAAAATCTCATTAAATTGATTAAACAGAAATTGTAAATGAAATATAATACATGTACTGTCCTATTCTTATAGAGACATTTAGACGATGGATATGAATTATAGTTGTGCTTGATAATGGTGTTAGCGTCCACACCGAAGCATCGCAAATTTCGTTTTAATCAGATCAATTTGTATATTTCATAGATTTATGAAAGAAAGAAGTTGATCATCTTCACGTGTGAGATGAATGTGTATAATCTTAAATGTGAGTATAAGCTGTTTACCTGGAGTTGTTGGTGGGATTGGAGTTGTTGTTGGGATTGGAGTTGTCAACAAGTTCACTAAGCCAGCTGAAAATAGTGTAATGTTTGTCAAAACAAAATCTGAAGCAATATCAGTCTTTCAAAGCATTTAGTATTTATAAGCCATAAATCTTGACATAAATTAATACCCAATCAGCGGAACATACCTTTGGTCATACTGTGATGACGTCACAAGTGCTTAGAAGCAAATTTCAGGCCTCGAATTTCCTTTCCTTTCACTTATGGGGTAAGATAAACCCAGAAATTATTTGGTTTAGTATTTTAAACTTAAATTTGAAACCATTAAACGTACGGTTAACCACAGTACAACATTTAAACAGAAGGAGTTGACCCTTCAGGTAACGTGACTCAGAGGAATCGCAAATATATTCTAAAAATATAATCATAGATTTTGTTAAGCTTTCGAAATGTTTTAACCAATGAATTTGAAAGTTTATTCTTACAATATAACGGCAGGGTACGGCACTGAAATGACATGTGCCCATGTGGAGAATCGAATCCGGGTCTACGGCTTCAGTTTCAAATATACTGCAAATATACATACCATTTGGATCTACCTGGTCCACCACAGACACGTTGCCTTCTACAACTACAAGATGAAACAACTTGTATGAATCTTTAATTTCACAAATAGAAACAAGTCCGGATGTCAAACACCAATTAAAGACAATGTCGTAACCGCTAAAACTACCAAGTCAACTCTGAAAATGACTGAAAAGCTAGGAAATGGGGAAAAAGTGACATCTACAATTGTTGTATGACTACTTCCATGGTTTCTATTTACAGCACTCAAGTTCAGTGCACATGTGCTTGCATATCCAAAGTTTAGAGCAAAACAGAATATTTGACAAATGAATGGAGGCTTATGGTAATAAGCCAGACGTGAATATAAAAATAGCTAAATATCTCAAGAACTTCCGTGGTTTCGTGACTACAGCCCCGTCATACGTTCAGATTCCATCTTAAAATAGTACACCGCAAAAACATTTGTCGTAAGATGCGTCTAAATAGACTGGGCTGTCGTACATCAGTGACTTCCACGTCATCGTATATTTTATTGCTATTGTGGCCAAACATTGTTCCTGTCATCTTATGACCCATTTCCTGCTGTTTCGGTCGACGGAAGAAATGGCGATACTTGTTAATATTCTTTTATGACATTTTTGTATCTCCGTGTGAGTGCAACACATGCAATATTCTGACCACAAGAAACCAAAGAATCTTCAGGGGTAACTTCACTTACCATTTGGAGCCATTTCCATTACTGGTAGAGCTTCAAAAGAAAACATCATGACAAGTTAACTTGGGTGCAGCAGTACTGGCAATGAATCAATACACAGTTTTACTGTTAATCTGTGTGTGTCCTTCATAATTTTCCAAAAAAAAGCGACAACCTCTCCCCCCTTTTTTGAACAAATAATTGGTACTTTACATAAAATAACCCAATTTGACTAAAGTAAAATCGTACTTACTGGATGGGATGCCGGGCTCGACTGGATCAAGTACCATACCTGAAAATGAGATTTGAAACGACTGCTAAATGGTGTCGCTTTTCATACCAATATAAGTATATAGATATGAAAAAACCCCGACTAAAATGAATGAATGAATGAATGAATGAATGAATGAATGAATGAACTTGTTTCATTAACAGAATTATTGTTCTTAACCCAATTCTGTAATCGTACTAAAACCCATTTCAATAGCACCAATACTCACGAGCAACGCGGGCCACAGAGAGGTGAAAACAGACGAACACTTTGCCCTTGCACCCAGCGTTCACCCACACGGTTGTGTTACGTATTCCGTATGACGTATCACGTAGACACACTGATTGACCTCCCACGTTATCAACGGCAACGCTTATAATCTCCTTGGCTATCGGGTATTCAAACTGGATGTTCGAGTCTCCACTGGCCCACTCATCTACGCATGCATGTTCTGCAAGGTAACATGCGTGTTGACGTTATTGTGACTTATGAAAACTATATATACTAAAGGAATATTGATAATCGATATGTTTAGTGTACTACACCGTATTACAGATTTTACAGCAAAGGGGTGGGGGTGGGTGGGGAGGGGGTGTTCGGATGATCTAGGCACATTCATGCTTGTTGTGCCCATCCCCAGTCCTTGCCCTGTCTACACGCAACCCAGACAGCGCTTAGAACTTCTTCCTGTGTAGCCGAACCTCTGAATCTTTCGGAAAATGTGAAGACTCCCTAACACTAAAGCATTCGTCATCACGCAGATTTTCGACGGGCAGTGTTCCCGGCAGCAAACTCGGGTACTCACCCTATGTCAGTCAAGAAATTGGGATTATACAATGCCTTTAGAAAGGGGTCAACTGTAACATATGTTATATTTGGGATTACACTTTCTTAGTAAAGTACTGATCTAGTGCTTCTGTTTGATTGAGTCCCATCCTTTGTGTGCTGGCGATTAGGTGCCTGACTCTGAG